CCAGTTAGCGCCTGTGATGATGTCACTAGGGTTGAGAGGATATTTGGTGATTTTTCAGATTTTTGCTAAAGCGTTGACATCGATTGCGGCCTAACAGTGCGAGGTCGGGCCTCGTGGCTCCAATATGTCGGAAGCCCGTCTTTCATGACTTGTTTAATCCTCAAATGGGGTTTCTCAGATGTCGTGGGGCCCAGCGATTAGATCCGGAAGAGGGCCATGTTTCGGGCCCGTTTTACTTCCTTCCCATTAAGTTCCTATGGGACAGTTTTTCACCTTTCTCGTAGTTTTTTCGAAAACGCCCAGACTAATGAGAGAGAGAAATCCAAGCATGCATCCATCTGTCAGTCCGGACACGCCTGTCTTTTTTGGGCCCGATCATCGAACCATGTAAGACTAGTTAGGCGCCAAAACAGGAGAACTGTGAGTCGCGGAATAAATTTGCTCAAATGTAACAGGAGGGCCTTCTGAACCGAGCAGATAAAATCCATCAAGTTAAACAGATATTTTCAGATGGATTTAAACATCCAGAGTTCACCTGTCTTCCTGAAGACTGATCCAGATTTTAGGAGCAGAAAACTAAAGCATAACCTCTCCTGGTTTGGTTCTGGTTCTGGGCCCCAGCAGGAGACCATAACCTGGTTACCAGAGATGGACTTTAGACCATGAAGAAACCTATTTTAAAGTCTGTTCTCTTAGTGACAGGAAGCCAGAACAGAAACCTGAGAACTGGACCAGTGCGGTCCTGTTTCCTGGTTCTGCAGAGAACTGGACCGATTGAAGGTGAAGTCCTGCAAACTTGTTTTTAGACTTTTTGAAATAAGGAAATGCAGGTTTGGTGTTTTACTGCAGAGTTAAGAGGTTAAAAAATCTGATGATATGGTGAAGTTTGGTCACTTTGGTGTTGTTTTTGTTCATCATTAGATATTTCCGGTATCAGCAGCAGATTTTAGATACTTTTGCATCTTTTTTAAACCTGCTCGCATATGAATAAAGTCAGACACACACTTACACAGGGACACACACACACACACACACACACACACACACACACACACACAGATACACACACACACACACACATACACCCTTTGCTTCATGGTGCTGATCCAGAATCTTTTTCTTTAGTAACTTGGTGATTAAACTGGTTTCACCGCCCACCTTCTTCATTTTTGTTCAAACATGAGGCTGGAAAAGCTGTAACCCTGTAAAAGACCTAAAACTAAACCAGAACCTCAGGAACAGGAACTGCTTTCTGTGCATCAGACTCTCAGAAGTGACGGTTTAAAGCAGCTTCCAGTCAAATGTGCTGAAACGCCGGTTAAACGGTCACAGACTTTCTGATTAAACTTTGTGGAATCTGCCCTCGTTGTGGAGCTGAAATCTGATAGGAGCTGGAAGTTTGCATGAGTTTGATGGATCTGTGCTGGGAGGCCTTTAAAAGCCGGTGAGGCAGCTCTGGCAGCAGGTCAGTGGTCAGTGGTCAGCGACTCGTCATGCATCACCTGGTCTTCCTTCTGCTTCTGTGTGCAGGTGAGTCCTTCACATGTTCCTGTTAGCTGCCGTTGGGGGGGGTGCTGGTCCCAGACTGGTCCCAGACTGGTTAAGACTGTATATGCACACAGACTGAAGCTGCTTCTGTTTCAGCCTTCCCGCCCAGCGGGGCCGTGGACCTGCAGAGGAGGATCTACAGGGGGAAAGATTGTGACAAAGGTGATCGTCTGTACCACGTGGCTCTTTCTAGGGACTCTAAAGGAAAGCGTATTCACTGTGGGGGCTCTCTGATCCACAAACAGTGGATTCTGACTGCAGCTCACTGCCTTGACACCAAAATGTAAGTGAAAATGTTTGTCAAATGACCAAAATCCACAGAAAATAACAGAAAACCGACCAATTCACCTGAGATTTTTCAGACATTTCATCCTAATTTTGATGTTTTCTGTGAGTTTTTTTCCTGTTTGCTCTGAATCAGGTCTGAGTCTCTGTGTGGATGTTTTACAGAAACTTTCTCGTTACTTTTCTGTCCTCCAGGTTTGCAGTTTTGGGTGTGCATCCAGGTTCAAAAAAGAAAGTGATGGAAATCACAGAAAAAGCTGTAATCTATGAGGAACAGAATGGCCAGAGGCATGACATCATGCTCCTGAAGTTACCGGAGGAAACAAACCTCCCACTGGTTTCTCTTCCACCTGTCGGCTGTCAGAAAACTGCTAAGTGAGTTAAACTGAGTTAAAGCTCCTCCAGGTCTGTTTGTGTCTCAGCCTGAGAAAAGGTTTCAGGTCTGGAAGCTTTGGGCTGTGGGAGTGAGAGTGGATTTAAAAAGGCTCCATCTTTATTAAAGTCCCCAGAGGCCGACAGTAAAAGACTCATTCTGCTTACAGGGGGACAATAGTCCAGATGGCGGGACATGGGAAAAATGACAAAGGTAATAAAGATCTAAAAAGTAGAGTTGTTTCTTTATTTCTGTTGGGTTTGCCTGAATCTTGCAAAAATTTTGCAAACTTTTCTTAAAAATCTCTGCTGAGATATTTCTGGATACAATCTTTGTACTGTCAACATGAAATTCTGCTAATTCTAAAGAACAGTTGATTACATGATAAGTCAGAAGCCATTTCAAGTAGAAAGGGATAAAACCTTTTTTCTGTTTTAATTTCTCTTTAGTAACAAGTCAACCATCTAAACTCCTATGTGTGGATATGAAGGTGAAAGAATGTAGTGACAAAGAAAAACAAGACATTTCCGAATGCCTTGACAGAAATCTGTTACTTCCAAACCCTTTCTGTACTGATGCAACAGGCGGAAAGGACACTGGCGCAGTGAGTCCTGCTGTTTTTAACATCCTGTTAACTCTGTGATGGAGCTCTGAAGTCAAAGTGAGATGATAATAACTCTTTTCTGTCTCAGGGGGACTCTGGTGGAGGAGCCGTTTACGATGGGAAGATCTATGGTGTTATTGTTGCTGGTGATGATAACGTCTGCAAATCCCCACCAGTGTTCATGGACGTCTGTTCTTACCTTAACTGGATATACAAACACGTCCCCAAACCAAAGGTCTAACTAAAGAATCAATAAAAGAATCTGAGATTTCAGACCTGCATGAAACAGCGACTTCTGTCTTTTGTTTTCACGTTCAAAATCTGAACTTTAAATCTAAGTTGGCATTTAAAAGACAAACTTTGAAACAAATGATTCAAAATGAGTCAATCCAGGAAACATTCATCAGTAATGAGATCAGACAGTTTTCACCTGAATGGGCTCATTTCACCTCTGAGGGCTCTGGGAACGCTGGGCGCCACAAAATGAGGCTAAAAAAGCAGGAAGAGACTGGAGTAAGTGGGAATAAACTAACCAGGAATAACTAAGCAGGAATACATTTACCAGGTACAACAAAATAGAAATAATCTAACCAGGAATATTTTAGTGGGAATAAGCCAGCCAAGAATAACCTAACTGTAAATAGACTAAATGTGAACAAACTAACCAGGAATAAGTAAGTATGAATAAACTAATCAGGAATAGTTAACCGATTATAAAAAAAAAACCCAGGAATAACCAAATGGGAGGAAAATAACCAGGACTAGAGTAAGTGGGAATAAACTAACTGGGACTAACGGGCTGCTGTTGGTTTGTTTGCTGGGTGGTTTGGATCCATTTCAGGTGGATTCAGAATGAAAAACTAATCTGAACATGTCCTGTTTCTGTGGCGTTGAGCTTTCGTGAGACGTCCAGCCCTGAAAACTTCTGGACGGCCTCCAGCTGCCTTCCTGGACGCTCAGAAACTCAAACCCGTTCTTTTTTTTTTTCAAATTATTTTTATTGAAACAAATGATAAGATAATATCAATAAGGAATACGGTTCACTTTTTTTTTCTTTTAAGATAAACATATACTTGTGCAGGTGTAACTTCTAATTTTAAATACAAGTATAAATGTTGAAGTAGTCACACCTACTACATATACCAAAAACAAAAACAAAACAAAATAAGAACAATAAAAGAAGGGAACAACCCCCCCCCCATTCCCACCCTGTCTCAGCCCAACACATTCAGCAGAAAAATAAGATAAATAATAATAATACTAATTTAAAAAAAATAATAATAATGAAAAAAAACTAAAGTACAGCAACAGGCACACATATTTAATTAGGTAGGAACTCCAAATCTGAAAAATAAGAAAGAAAACAATGCCATTTTTGGAAAAAATTGTCCGTACATCCTCTCATTGTATATTTGATTTTTTCAAGTTTAAGAAAAAACATCATGTCCTTAAGCCACTGGGTGATGGAGGGATATCTAGCAGACTTCCAGTGTAATAATATTGAACGTCTTGCGATTAAAGATGTAAATGCTATTATATCTTTTTGCTTTGAATTTAATACTACTGAGGAATTAGAAATCCCAAATATAGCAGTCAGTGGACAAGGTTGCAAATTAACTTTGAGAATAGTAGACATAGCTGTAAAGTAACCGGACCAAAAAGCAGCCAGGTCAGGGCAAAAAAAAAACATATGACTAAGATGACACGGAGAGTCCTGACACTTGTCACATTTGTCTTCAATTTCTGGATTGATTTTACTGAGTCTGGACTTAGAGAAATGGACTCTATGTAAAACTTTGAATTGGATAAGACCAAGACGAGCACAAGAGGTAGTAGACCGTATTCTGTCAATTGCATCTTCCCAGAGATCTTCATTTAACTGTATTCCTAGCTCTGATTCCCATGCATTCTTAATCTTAATTTTGTTATCCAACTGAGAGTTTAGTTTCAGAATTGAGTTATATATCTTTGAAATATTTCCTCTCTGAGAAGGGTTATATAAAAGCAAGTTTTCC